TCAATTTAATTTGAACAATTTCAGAGAATTGTTAAACAAACATAAGGATTTAGACTAACAGAATATGGCAGGATGTGATTTACAGCGCCTACTCATTAGGGTTTAATTGTCAGGTTCTTGGGTTGTTCTCATTCTAAATATAAACATGTTCCCAGCTGTTAAACAAGCAGAGAGGATGTGATTTCACACATGCACCTGCAGAGGAGCAGAAGGATTTCTACCCCAGCTGTTGCCTAAATATTTTCGCTAATCCCTGTCTTATCTGAGTGGATCGCTGACTGGGTGATGGAGGACATCTACTGCAAGTCAGACTTTCTAAAACTGATCGACAAGCATCGTCTAGGAACTGATGAATCCTCTGGCATCCTCCAACTCTGGCCACCGTTAGCAAGCAGCATTTCAGAGTTGTTATTGCCAAGCGGAGCCGATTTCCTCATCACACTGAAGAGTTTTGAAATGTCTCCAGCCGGGTATTCCTCCAATCAAATGTCTGCCTCTACAGATTACAGTAACCACACTGTAAGGCAACCAGACCGCAGCTTTTATTTCATCTCATTTGGAGATGATGGCTCACAGTTATTAGTAACTCAGAAAAAAACAGCATTATGTATGAATATATATTAAAGAAAAAAAGATATTATTTATGTTACAGTATATTTAATGTCAAGAAAACGGGAGTTAACAAAAAAAAGGTCTTTGCTAAAGAAGCTGGCTGTTCCTCCATTGATGGAAGGTTTGATTGAAGGAAAATATGCTGTTAAAACTGCAGAATTACAGAAATTAATGCAAGTCTGAATAAGCTGTTAGGGTCAGGCTTCCATGGAGTTGAATGCAGTTAAGGTCAGTGAAGCCACCACATATAGACGTGTCTGGGAAAATGGGAAACGCTTTCTCCTTCCGTAATAAACCACCACTGAACCTGAAGACACAGAACGCCTTTTACCTGAGACAAGAAGCTACAAACTTTCTTAAAAATTAAAAAATGTTTGAGGTCCTGTGTCAGTTATTTACAATCGGTGATGAGGAGCTATGCCATCTGCTGTTGCTGCGCCGCTGGGATTTTATTAGGGCTGTAAATAACAATTGTTTTGCAAATCGATTCATCCGTTGATTATTTCTTTTTGATTAATAGCAAAAGGTTCCTTAAAGAAGATTTTTATGAAATGAAACCAGGTGAAAATAAATCTTTTTCCACTTGAGGAGTTCTGGATAGAGCATATCAGAAGATAAAAGTGGGTTGTCTTTATCTTAAAGGCAAAATGTTTACTTTTTTTTTTATTTTGGTCTAATTGCTGCTCAAGGTGGGTTGCTCTCTCAGCTAAAGGCACTTTTACTAAATTAGTTGATGATTATTTCAATAATCGATTTATCCGAATAATTGTTTCAGCCCTAGTTTTTATTAAATCTAAATTCAGATATTTATATTTATTAGCTGAATCCGATGTCAAATGAATGTCACTAACCTTTCTGATCCAGTCTTTTCTTCTTCTTTTTTTTTATTAAAAAACATACAGCCATAATGTTGCAGCGATCTAAAGAAGTTTTAGCAGCTGCTATGTTTTGTTTTACATTTTAAAATAAGTGTTTGCAATGCACTTTACATGGAAGTGTTTTTTCTTTTTGTCTGAAATGGAAATCAGTAATATTAAGTACATTTAATTTGTTACATTTTTAACAGTGTTTAAATCACTTGAAACCTACAGCACAGCGGCCCTCGAGAACCGACTTTGGGAATGCCTTGTCAATATTATAACAGCCTGATTCTCTTCGCACAACAGACCGATCACCTTCATGCCAAGTCACATTGATGCAGTAATCCATGCAAAAAATATCCCCATCAGGTATTTAATCCATTTACAGAACCGTACATAGAAAAGCTTTACATTGAGCTAATTTCTCTCTGCTTCAAAATCCCCCTTTTTTTGTTGGTCTCATTGAAGACAGCATCAGTACTTGCAGCCAGGCCACCCTGCTTATTTGCAAAACAAATCACCCTCTTGGACTTTTGTGAGCTTGCACGGCTGTGTGACCCTCACCAAGTCAGCATTGTCCTGACAGACAGAGGCATAGCCAGAAAATCTTTATAAGGGTGGCCAGGCAATAACCAATGTACACTGAGGGGTGGCCGAAAGGGGACAGGCGCCAGAACCTCAGGGTTAATCTACACCGTTCCAAGAAAAAAATTAATAAGCAAAACATCCATAATTTTTAAATAAAGACAAACTATACTTTCCTACAGCCTTTGCTTACAAAACGGGTGCATATATTTAAACATCGGTGCTTTCTAATAAAAGGTAGAGCGGATAAATTTTTTTCAGGTTTGAGTTCTGGGCCGAACATCTTTTCCATTGTCATTACTTACCTACTTTTATCAATAAACATTCTGCATAAAATTGATATTTACAAGTACTAATATCTACATAAATAGATTATTTAATACATTTTTATTAAAATATTTATTAATCTATGATTTCACTGAAGACTCCTAGATAACATATCATTTAATCTTTACCTCATGAAACACAAAATCTAGTTCTGAATAGAGCATGAATTATGTACTTATCTTTAATGTTAGTATACTGATGTGCATAATTAACCACAAAAAATTCTAATGTTTTGAATATTCCACCTGAGGGTATTACTGCTGCCACCATCTGTATTATGCTACGTTGACACCTAAAGCAGCAGAGGCAGCAGGAGCAGCTAGTTTACATGCAAAGTCAATGGTTGGCGCGCATCAAGGCACAGCAAAACGTCCTGCAGCACGTTTTGAGCAGCAGGAGCAGCGCATCATGAGATTCTGAGCATCTGACGCGTGGAAGGCGCTGCAAATGCAGCAGCTGCTGGAGTTGGAAAAATTGAACTTTTTGCTAACTTTTTTTTATATTTGGAGGCAGGATGGTAATCTGGATGAACTGACTGCACAGATGAAGTTTTAATGTGGAGTTTCACATTGAATAACATATCAAAACTACTTTATTCTCACTGATCACAACATATATAGCTGCCATTGTTATAGGCAAAGAAAGGATAGGGTAGCTCCGCCCAACACGCATCGGACTCACTTTTTCCACCGCGCAGCTAGCTAAATTTGTACAAGCTTCAAAAATGAAGCAGCACTCGAGTTTTAGGCTACGTTCACACTGCAGCCTGAAGTGACCCAAATCCGATTTTTTTGGCCCATATGCAGCCTGTATCTGATTTTCTCATGGCATGTGACCCAGGCCACTTGGCTATGTAGTCCTAAACCCAATACGAATCTGATCTTTTCAAATGCGACCTGTGTCTGAACGGCCAGGTTGCATTCATCCAACCTAAATGCCATTAATACCTGACAAAGGTCACTATTCTGGGTCTTGCTATGAAGAAGTGTCAAGAAAAACAACAACCGTGGCGGACAATGATGCAGAGAGCAGTATTTGTGTTTAACCATCTTGAAAAGATTGTGTTTTTATGGTTGGGAAGAATCGCTAGATGCGCACCAGCACACTACCATCCATGTTTACATCCGTAAAAACAGAGCACTCTGGCGGTGATGTCATTGCGTCCTCTACTGCGCATGCGGGAAACTTACATTGTTGACTGCAGTTCACACAGGAGATCACATACAAGTGGCATATATTTGGAAATGTTAACAGCAACCCAAATAAAAATAAAATGTCACAAAAAAATCGGAATCGAGCATCAAGGCCTGCAGTGTGAACGTAGCCTTTGCTGCTCTTGCTGCTTGCGTTCCAATGGGCTGTTTATACTCCCCGCAGCAGTGCGTCGCAGTGAGCTTGATGAAGACATTTTTTCATTTTTGCTCAATTTTGAAGCGTGTTCTGCGCTATGTTATATTCAACGCCACAACGCAAGAGGGACAATCTGTGGGTCTAGGGCGTCGTGGCGAGTTTGTCCGACAACGGAGGGACATGAGGGCGAAAAAGAGCGGGGATCCAGGTGCAAAAAGGGTCCCAGTATTCTCGCGCATCTCGCTCTTCTAGCAAATCCATCTTCATGAGTTGTTTTCCACAATTGCAGTCATACAAACAAAACAAGCCGGCCTCCTGTCTGCAGCACTGTCTGCGGTCACCTACAATTTGGGAAAGGTGCAGCAGAGTGTCTGCGGAGGGGCCGGGATGTCTTTTTGTTCACTGCTACACCTAGCAGAGGACCTAGTTTCTTAAACATTAGAACTGAAAAAAATGGTAGGGGTCGCTAAAGGGGTGGCCAATGATTGGCTAAGGTTGGCCATGGCCACCCCTGGCTCCCCATCTAGCTCCACCCCTGCTGAGAGAATGAGCTATTATCTCTTGTCATGCAATGACAATAATACCAATTGTATCTGAAGCATCTCCTGGTGGATTAGAAAATCTGAAATGTTTTAAGCTAAGAGAAAAGGGCTGCATTACAGTGAGCTTCAAGAGTGAACTTCTAGTTGGTAAAATCTGTGCAGCTCTCTGACTCAGGAATGCTATGCATGACTACTTGAATTTGTAGCTGAGCTGCATCTCAGGAAGACTGCCTACTTAATACAAGAAACTTTTAAAATATATAAATAAATTTGATTAAGAGGTGAAACATTTATGGCTAAGCTCATACTTTAAAGTACAACTGAAGTTTTTAAGATAAACAGTTTCGCGGATTTGTAACATATCAAAGCTCTAGTTAACTTGCCAGTTATTCCATATTAAATCATAATAATATAATAAATAATATAATAATAATAAAATACAAATTTTTTGGAGCTGTTTAGGACCGACAGATTAAAGAATGTATGGAGAGGGTCTGAATTATGCTGTAGGCTGACAGTTTGGCAACATCACAATGTTAACTGAAACGCCACGTTACATCCATGTCCCAATATTGCACACCCATAGATGAATTAAGAGACTTATTTCAAGCTAAATAAACATTTTAATCCCGTTATTACCTGTGGTTAAATACTAAAACAACAAGTACGAGACGAGAGGCTTCTTAAACTTTATTTGAAAGTTAGAAAAATGTCTCCAACTCACCACTTTATTGCTTTCCCATTGTCCAATTCCCGTTTAACTCCACGGTAATAAAGAAACGTTTTCAACGGAATAAATTACAGGCTGGCAACTCGCTTCGGTGTCAAATCATCCGGTTTTCGTCCCTCTTTTCGGCTCTTCCCGATGTTAGCAGCAGATTCTGTCCATGAAAAGCCCTTACCTCCAGCTGGCAGCTGATTGGTGGAGGGGTGATGTGAGGCGAGCCGTGATTGGATCGCTGACACGTCAATCAACATTCCAAGGCCCTTTCCCGCAGCTCCCACTTGACATCAGATCTCCAGTGGACAGAAGATGTAAAGCCAAAAGCATTTTACTTTGTTTTTGTAATTTATTAAAGGAGGTTTATACGGATGAGGATTTGGGCCACTGAAAAAAAGGAGACTGATTTATAAATATTTTTTTCAGTTTAAAATTTAAAAAAAGTCAGAATTCTGACCTTTTTCTCACAATTCTGAGTTTAATTTCAGAATTCTGACTTTTTTTTTCAAAATCCTGACTTTTGCCTCTGAATTCTGACTTTTTTCTCAAAATTCTGACGTTAATCTCAGAATTCTGACTTTTTTCTCAAAATTCTGACTTTTTTTTCTCAGAATTCAGACTTTTTTTTTTTAATTCTGACTTTAATATCAGAATTCTGACTTTAATCTCTGAATTCAGACTTTTTTCTCAGAACTCTGACTTTTTTCCGTTATCAAACTGAAATCAAATTTAAAAATATATTAACTTTTTTAATTTTTTTCAGTGACCCTAATCCCCTTCTGTAAATTTAAAAATGCTTTAAATAAGGAATTAAAAGTTGGCACTTCATGGTCGTTTTCTACTTAAACTCTTTACATTTTGAAATCAGCAACATTGGAATTTAATTTCAGAATAATCTAACATTAGATAAAAACATTAAATTTATATTCACCATCTTACAAAATTAGATTATTATGACTTTAGGCACATAAAGTTTTTATTAAAAAGTTTTTTAACTGTTGTGCCATATACCATATCAGCGTCTTTCCCATCGCTATTAGACTGCTGAATGTTGTATAAAATGGGGTTATAAAAAAACCCTAAATGTTGGAAACTGTAACTAATATACACTCGTATGATTACACTTATCACTGCTGCACTTTAAAAAATGAATATGTCTTGAGAGCTGTACTGAACGAAATTTCTTTTTGTATGCACTCTGTATGTACAAAATTACAAAGTCTGTCTAAGTCTAATACACTCTAACAGGTCATTGGAAATACTCAGACTAAATTAGAGGTTGAGGTAAAATAAAGTTGAGTTGAGGTAACATACATACAGTATACAATACATGCAGATAGAAAGGTGAGTTGAATGAAAAACTGTGGCAGCAAAATGCAGCACAACTAACTCTGATTCTTCTAGCCTTGAGATGATTGAAAACAAAGCTGAGTGGACTGGAGCGGGAGGGTCAAGGGCCTTTTACTCAAGTAAAAGAAGCCCTTAAAGAAATGATTCAAGTGAGTAAAAAAGTACTTGGTAAGAAGGCAGATTAAGTAGTAACTGATCTATTTAGTATGTATTATCATAACATGATTTAGTATTTTACAAAATGATGTAAACATTGAACAAAATATTAGTGATATGAAATCGTTGGTGTTTCAATGAATAAGATAAATAACATAACATACAGTACATTACACCATAAAAAATAGGTAAAATAACCACTAGGCCTTTTGAAAATGTTTTCATTAATAAAAATGGAGAAATCAACAGTTACAGAAGGGTTAAATTATAGTACACTGTATACTTTAACATTACCTCAACCTCTAATTGACAAAGCAGATGGAAAATAACATTCAACCAATAAGACTTGAGTATGAAACCAAGCTTGTTTTCATAAGTGAGGTTACTCAAGTAAAAAGCCCAATACAGTAAAAATACTTTTAAAATCACATTTTCTTTTTTTCAAAAAGTTACTCCAATAAATATAACTGAGTAAATATAACTAGTTACTACCCACCTCTCTCAGGAACAGGAGCTACAGCTGTTAGAATAAAGCCATTCCAGAACCATTGATGAGGTCAGAGGAACTTTATCTCAGCTATAAAGAAAAGGAAATAGATTTTTTTTACTTAATGGACCAAAGTCCTTTTTTTTTTAAACAGATGAAAGCAAATTCAGTTTAATTTAGAAACCAAGGTTCCAAAGTCAGTAAAACCAGCGTAGAGGCACCAGGTCCACATGCAAAGATGGGTATTTAGTCATTTCCAAAGTGACAGCAGCTCCAAACCATGAGCACCTGATCCTTGTTTCTGCAGACAGGTTTTACGGAAATGATTGCTTACATTTCCAGAAGGAATTGGGACCCGCCCACACTGCCAACAGAAGCAATATCTACTATAATGACCTTTGGATCACTGAGCTTGATTGGTCTGTAAATTCATCCAGCCTGAACATCAGACAGAATGAAGCAAGTCAAGATAATAAACCTTTTAAAGCAACCTGGCCTTATGCGACACCACAGCAGAGCCACAGGCCACATTAATGTTTATAGTTTAAAATCCTAAAAAAGATGAGTTGTTTTAAAACTAAATAAACAGTAGTTACATAGCTCCTATAGTGCCACCTAGTGTTGGAGTTGTAAAGATGCATCTTGATCCTACCACTTCTCTAACAGTGCTTTCAACCCTGTTCCTCAGGGCAACCTGCCCTGCATGTCTTGGATGATTCCCAGCTTTCACACACCTGATATCAATTGTTAGCAGATTGGAAGGCTTTGCTGGAGTGCAATCATCTGCGTGTTGAAGCAGAGAAACATCTAAAATATGCAGGACACTTAAAAAAACACAGCCGCATTCTTCCAGCTGCACGCCCATTCCCCTACAGGCATATATCAGAAGGTAGCTGGGATTGAGAGCCTTGCTTAGAGGCACATCAGCATGGGGCAGGAGGAACCTGGATTTAAACCTACGACTTTGGGATTCCTAAGTGAAGATTCTTCGCTTTGAGCCACAGTTGCTTCACTGTAACAGAAAAATAACAACAAAGACAAATATGTATCATAAATCCTTTTTTATTTCAAACCCAACATTATTGCATTGCCCAGAGTTCACCAACACACAGTGCTGCTAAAGTTGAAAAAGCAGAACTGAACCCACAAGACTTCCTTTAGTTCCACAAGTTATTCCTAAAGAAATAACACAATGTCAGACATTTAAAGCTCAATTTTTTGTATGATAGATAAAACTATTTAAATACACTTTTGATAGATTTTAAATTTGCGGTGCCATAGACTGGAGCCCTGATTACAAATAACTTAATAATTTTGACTCTCCAAGAGACATTCATTGCTTTTATTTTTACATTTGTTATTAATAATAGTAATCAAGATTGTAAGAGCTAAGTCGAACAGAATGTTAAATTCAGTTTAGAAAAATAAAAAAAAGCTGTAATTACATGTTTTCCTGTGTTGTGCAATTGTTCTGACATTTCAATAACCAGAGCAAGAAGTTCTAGCAGTGGGATTTAGAGGATATTTTTAGACCAAATTTCAATTTGCAAAAATAAAACTGGGTAAATGCTGGGCAACCCCCCCCCCAAAGAAAAAAAACAAACATGTCAGTTGAGGCACCATTCATACAGCAAATAAAACACAATTCAGCAACTCTGAGCAATATAAAGCAAACAAATGTTTAAGACCTATTAAATAAACCCCAGCTTCTTCAGATGAAAGAATTTTAAAATAAATCTCGGTTGAAATGAAACCAGTTTGTTCTGTTTTTAACACCGTTTTAGTCAAATTGCATCTCCGTTTCAGACAGTAGGGCCTTTGTGAAAGAAACAATACTGAGGCTTTCTTCCTCCAATGAAGGAGAAATGCTTTCTGAGTGATGCTGGTGACCGATCTGACATGGGAAGACTTTTACTCTGAGACCACTGCGAACCAATTTGCCCACTAAGGTTTAAACGAATCCAATAAATGAGCCAATTTCCTCAATTTAAACACAAAGCCATGTCATGTGTGCGATAAGGGCAGAGTTAATTCATTAGTGAGAGGGGAAACAGTCCATTTTCACATCTCCCTCACACAGAGAGCATCGGGCATGTATAAGAAATAAAATTTAATTCTCTAAATGTTCAATAGAAGATATTAAAAATGTGAATTTAAAACCTTACATTGCTGCAGTTAAACAAGTTAGCCAAAACTCCTGTTATGCATTTTGTGAAGAAATAAAACACATTAAGCCAGATATGAGACAACTATGCTTAACAAAAAAAAAAAAGAAGAACCAACTTTTTAAACCAAACAGGCTGGAAGAAACACAAGTACCAAAAACAAACAAAAAAAACCCCTGATGCATCCCAGACCTGGAGAACACATCATCATATCCCACATACCAAATGTGCTCTTCACGTTTCCATAGGTGTTCATCTTAAACTTAAAAGAAGTGGATAAGAAAAGTAGCAAAAGGTAGACAGGGTTGGACCTTTCAAATGCTTTTTAGCTTTCATGAGGTTTCGTAGAAACCGCAGAATGATCTCCCACGGTGCCATTAACCGGCGCCGGTTTGTTCCCAAAGTTCCAGTCGACGGGATTCAGCAGCTGCATGGTCTTCTTGTGCGTCCAGATGGGGTTGATGATGAACGTGAGCAGAGCGAGTCCCGAGAAGAAGATCAGCCTTTGGGAAAGCGCCACGTGGGTGTTAATCCCATCCCAGTGGGTCACCGTCACCCACCACATGTAATAAGTAAGCACCATGCGGCAGTGGAACATGTGGATCATCACCCACTGGTTGGCTCTCCAGAAGAGAGTGCGAGCCCAGCCGGCCTTTCACAGGAGGGGGGAGAGAAAGAAAACACAACCGTTAACCCTCATCGCCTCAATGAAAACAGAAATACGTCATGAAAAGGAACAGAAAGAGTTTAGGCAGCAGCACACATTTAATAAACAGAGCTTCCTTTTTCTGAGGGTGAATTTCATGCTTTTAGAATCACATGAAAGAAGACTGAATGGGAAATGAGACTTGGTGATACAGCAAGACATTTTGAAATGAGGTGACAACAGAAGAGCAGCAACTAGCCGTGTGACATGCAAAAAAAAAAGGCTGCACACACAAGTGAGTCAGACTGATGTTGAGGGTAAGAAACACCCTTTAAAGTCCAATAAAGGGATTTTCTATTCTATTTAAAGAGCTCTGAGTGAAAATGCAAGTGACTCAGTTTTTTTCTAAAACGTAAAAACTGGCCATCTCTCAAATGTTTCAACAAACTGCTGGTCAGCTGACTTAAACGGGCATTTCCAAACTATCTGGCCAACTTTAGGCAGCATGTTTGCTCTAAGCAGGAAGCCTGACTAATTATACAGCTAATATCAAGTTATTACAGTGTTTATAAAAGGTAAAACATTATCAGCAGACACGCATAAAACAAGAACTTTATTGTTTATTTGACCGTAAGATTTTTGGGGAAAAAAAGGTTTTATTTAAATAAATAAATAAAAATTTAGAGTAGCATAAAATGCATATATGAAAAATTCTAAAAAAAAAACTTCCAAAAGTTAAAAAACAATCCACTGGACTTTGTTTTCAAGTTTCGCTTCCCATCCAGGAAGCTTTTTCAAATGAAAAGGTCAGAAATGGTGTCAAGTTTGAGGCTTTATAGAGTGGACCAAAAAAAAAAAAAAAAAGACTTGTTATGGCTTAGAAAACATGCAATTTGCCAGATGAACAGATCCTTCTATTTCTGACATTTTGAATTGAAAAAGCTTCCTGGATGGGAAGCAAAACGTCTTCAAACTTGGACACAAACTCCAGTGGATTGTTTTTTTTAAACTTTATTGGAATGACTGACCTGGATGACTGGGAATTTTCACCAGCACTAATGAAACATCATAAAGAATTACATCAAAATCAAATAGATAACGTTTTAACAAATTGAATTTTAAATCTTTAACTCTGCTACCGTGATATTTTTAGTAGACATGTTTCCATCTTCAAGTCGTCTCTGCTGGATTAATGAGTTTAATTAGCCTGTTGGCTGCTGCACCGCTTCCCTCAAAATCAGCTTCTTATCTGCCATCTCTGCTTGGACTTTTGGTTATTTAAAGGGCTGTTGAACATTATTTGCTATTGAAAAGTAAGAATCTTAAACGCAACCCTGCTTAGACTATAAATTAAAAAGGATATGTCAAAGAAATCCTCTGGGAAATGCTTAATTTGACATGAAGACACCATAAGGCCCTTACCTTCAGCAACATCCAGGAGATGCAGGTAAAAGGCGTACTCATCTCCAGTAGGAGAGTAACCATGGCCAGGAAGTGTCCCTGAGAATCAAACACTACGGCGCCTGCAAAGCCCGACAGGGCGAAGAAATGATGGGTGGCCAAGGGCAGGTCGAATGACTGGAACACCACACTAGATGTGTGGAGTGCCACGTTTTCAAACACAAAAAAGCCTGTAGCTGTGAGGACGTGAAACCAGGACCAATCCTCCTGACCCCTCACTTTGTCATTGTTTAGGGCGGACTCCTCAGTCAGAGCCCGAAGTCCTGCCACTGTGCTCTGAATGCCGAATGCTGCACGAGTGGCTGCCAAGTTCCAGAAGACCTTCTCCTTGGCTGAAAGAGCATTATAGGTGCGGCACAAAGCCAGTGACAGGAGGTGGGAGAGGACAAATACAGCTGTGTAGAAGCCAAAGCCGAGACCGATGAGCTGGAAACGATAATCCCAGGAAAAGCACTCAGGGCTGGGTCGGGATAGAGGAGGAGTCTGCACTTCAGCAGACATGGTGATGGAAGGACGATGAGCTTCAGCCAGAGAGGATCAGCTGGAGGTGGAGGATTGAACTGACTCCTGCATGCTGTAGGATACATGAAAAAATGTTAAAAACTGATAAAGAGTGTCCAGTCATGTTAGCATAAGAGATGTAATAAAGAAAACTTATTAAGAATTCAAAGATGTTACCTGTTTTCCTCAGCATTTCTTTCAGTTCTTCACCTAAACTGTAAATATACTTTTTTATCTGTTCTTTTTTAGTTTTTACTTGCAGAAAAATCATAAACCATATGTTACAGAATCTATTTAGAGTGGAGTAATTCTGTCTGAGTTTAACCTGTCTAAATGATGTAGGTTGTTTTTTTCTAACTATAAATCTACAACACAGCTATAGAGTTAATAAAATAAAAAATAAATAAATAAATTCAACTTTATTGATCTCAAAATGGAGAAATTAATTCTCTGCATTTAACCCATCCCCTTTGGGGAGCAATGGGCTGCCACTGTGGGAAGCTATCGGAAGGTTAAAGGTCTTGCCCAGAGACCCAGAGTGGCAGTGGGTTTCAAACTCACAACCCCAGGTTCCAAGCCCTATGCCCCAACCAATAGGCCACCACTCCACCTAAGCTGAGTTGATTCCTTCCCTCTATCATCTCAAACATCATGGCCAAGCAGGAGACAAAAACATCTTGCCTCGTCAGCCAGGCCAACAATAACCCTAACAACTCCCTTTTCAGAGCCATAGACCAGTATAACTTTTTGCAGGCTAAAAACGAGCTCAACGACTCCCCATTACTAAGGAGTGAACTGGTGTTTTTGGTTCAATTTGCATGTTTTCTAAGCCATAACAAGGCTTTTGTTTGTGCCACTATATAAGCCTGGGATTTTTCCAGTGCAGTCCTGTTTCTCTGAATGTGACTGGCTGGATGTGCTCTCTTGATCCTCTGACATGGGAGTTGGCTCAGAGCTCGTCTGCCTGGCTGTGTGTTTCCTGGACGGTGCCGCCTTTTACAGTTGCTTTTTGTATCTCTGCTTCTGTCTCCTTGAACCCCAGTCGGCCTGTTTCTGCTGGAGGTTTCTTCCTGTTAAACGGGAGTTTTTCCTCTCCACTGTTGCTACAAGCATGCTCAGTGTGAGGGATTGTTGGAGAGTCAATGAGTCAATGCAATCAAATGGTTTTCCTTAGATAGAAAACTGAATCAGTTTGACTGTATGATCTAGTTGAACTATAATGTGCCTTGAGATGATTTGTGTAACTCTAACCCAGACATTTAAAATTGAGAAACCTTCCCGAATGGGAAGCCAAACGTCTTCAAACTTGGAAAACAAAGTCCAGTAGAATTTTTTTTTTTTTTTACTTTGTTGGTATAAACCATATAAATTTCCCTGAGGCAAAGAAGGTAAAAAAAAGAAAAACAAAACAAATGTTTAATCACACATGATCTCCCTCACCATGTGACAATAAAGACATGACACGTCTTATCTGAAGTTATACGAGCTGTTATAAAGGTTTCACAGATAATGAAAGTGTTTTATTTATGCAATTACTTTAGGATTATTCTGCCCAGCTTTCATATTGCTAACTGCCTGTTTAGAAAATTCTATTTTTTATGTTAGAGTAGCAATAAAATACAACCCCCCCCCTCCCCCGCCCCATGAAATTCGTCTTTAAAAAAATTATTTGTTAAACATATTTTTTATTGCATGAGATAATCAAATTCAGATATGACAACTGTAAATACTATAAAAGTTCTAACCACAGCACACCTGGAATAATCTTAACACTTATTGTTTGTGTTTATCTTTAACTGCATGCATAATTGTGGATTATTCCAACATCCAGACAAGTTGCAAGATTTCTAAATTACCTATAAAATGAGAAACATAACTTTACCTGCTAACTGTAGAGAAGAGTCAGGCTAATTATGCGCCCAGTTTGACCAAAGAGCAACCAATATGTCAGTAAAGACAACCTAGCTGCTGTTACCGATAATTTTATGGATTTTTTTTAACTTACCCTTAAACCAGTGGCCAGCACATCACAGAAATAACAGCAGATCTCTAATCGGGGCTAAAACAGGAAGTCTCGCATCATGAGATTCCAATTTAATCACGTGACCCGTAAACCGGAAGTTACGCCTCGAAACAACGTCGTTGCTATTTCGGTCTACTGTCGTTTCAAAAAAAAAAAAAAAAAAGAAAAAAAAAAAAGAAAAAAGTGAGGAAATAAAAGGGAAAACTAACTTAGTGGAAACATTGGCGTCAATAGAAGTTTAATTTTTTATGGATCTATTTTACTTTACCTGTACCAGTCTCTGCTGTCTCCCGGCTACATTTGTCCAGCAGGGGGCAGCGTTGCTTTGTACATTTCTGATCTGTGGTTTATAGAGAAGGATTTCCACAATTTTTTTTTTTTATCATGATCAAAAGAACCACGGTATTCAGTATATAAACAATTTTCCGAGTACATCTTCATATGCATAACAGATGATTTAAACAGACCTTTTATGGATGTATTAAATCTTTAAACTTTTCTCTACTTGTCAGTAATATTCTGAAAAATACCAGAGGTCACGCTCTATAAAATTAAAAAAGAACAGCGGTAAAATCAAAAGGAATTATTAAGTTGTTAACTGTTATATATTAATAGTTTTACACTTCACATTTGATTAATTTAAACTGTAAAAGGGAAATTAATATAGCATAATATTTACTCATTTAACATGGGCACCAACAAAAAAATCTTGCTTCAGTTTATAGCAGAAAATATTTGTTAATAAAATACATACTACCATTTTATGTAAGTACGTGAATCTATATACACTTTTGAATATTTATAGAAATGTACCATACACCCATTTTTAAACCAATAATATACTTATGTTCTAAAATGTCTTCCAGTCTTTGTTAACATGGTTTTACTCACTGGAGCTTTATATGCTGAACTTATATTGAAATTAATGAAATAAGATTCTGAGAAAATTTTACAGTTACAGTAGCTGACTTTGCCAAAGTTGAAGTTAAGGATGCGGCTTATATTCTTGCAGCACCACGCTTACAGTGACAATGGATTGGCCTATACTGGAGCGTAGATTATGTGTACAAGAAAGGCCGAATCCAGTTCTAAATCTAGCTGGTAACAAGTGGTAATGCTATTATTGCAATTTATTTCAAAGATGGTCTCTATCAAATTTAGTTGACCATGAGCTATTAGAGATTTTTTTTTTTACATATCAAACAAATTCACAGTAAAATGATTAAAACTCTGTGGTTACCATGTGAAAATGGAGAAAAGTTTATGAATATTTTGTTTACTTTTGCAAAGTATTTAAAGACAGAAGGACAAAACTCAGACAAAATTGTCAAGACTTTTCTTCAAAAATTTAATTGCAGAACAATTTACAGTAGATGCCCAAAGCAACAACAAAACTGGGAAAATATTCTGGGGAAACCTTTAAGTTGTTTGTTTAGAAAGAAAAAAGGAAGATGCATACTGTATGTTTAACTGAAATAGTTCAAAGGAAAGGCCTGAACTTTGGAATATGTTGCACAGAAATCATCCATTAGGAGAAATGCATTTGTCTTAAAACAAACAAAAAAATTAATCTGCTGGACAGTGCAATAATCCTGAAACACAAATAAATAAATACATTAAAAATCAGTGTATTACATGCCACTGTATCTGCTTATAAAATAAGAAAATAAAAATAAAAAGAAACAAGGACAGGAAAAAGCAGAAAAAAAGTTTTCTTTCAAAGAAACATATATTATTTATGTATTTATATCCATATATATCTATATAGATATATATTTCTTTACAAATAATGAATACTTTGCATTATATTCATCTTTACTATAGATCTGATACACAAGAAAATAAAACCATTAAGCTAAACAACTACTTTTTTCATCTAGTAATCATAGTGTTATCTCACTTCCTTAAAAGGAAGTGTTTTATTGGTCTATGTCTGTGTATTATTGGTAATGTTCTTTTAGCAGCTGTGACACAAAAGAAGTCCCCTTAAAGAATTTCATGTGGTATAGAGTTAAAGACATAGATGTGGGGCCACAGAAGGCAAGATACAAGCAGAAATGTACAATATGAAACAAGGAGCAGTTCCTTCATTTCGTCTAATATTTATAAATGTAATTCAAAGTGATGTGAGAAATAGTCATACATGATGGCACTGGCTGTTAACAGCATGACTTTTTTGTTTCTTCATCATTTTTCTGAAGTTGGAGCAGAAGAAAAGGATTAAAAAGGAAACAAAAACTGCAGCTGCATTCTTAAGAAATGGTTCCTCCAGGGCACATAATGATCCCTGAATCTACGTCATCCAACTAGATCCATCATAGAAAACCCTTCAAAAGGAGCTTCAAGGGGACAGAGAGTCTGTTTGTAGGAGGTGGCCTTGTAGCTCCTCATGAAAGAGACTGTTAATAATGAAGAGAAAGAAGAAAAACCTCTTTTTATGGAAGAAAGAATTATTCACTCTTAGAGATAAACTTGACCCTGCGGCTGCAGCAGTTGCTATGCAAGAGTTGGAGAAAGATATGACAGAGATGTTTTAAATAATATGTATATACAGTCATATTGAAAAATCAGGACACCCTCTGCAAACCTTTGTGTTTTTCTATAGCAGTTTCAACAACACAGGCTTAGTAATTTAAACCATTAAAATGAAGCAAATGAAAACATCTAATGCATACTAATTGGGAAAATCCTATAATTATTTCCATTTTAAATGTAAATTAGAGTAGCAGCCATTCAAAATGGCCCTTCCCAGTGAAATGCCAGCCGAATGGCAGCAAAATCCCTCCAACTTCCAACCACTGGCCTTCTCAGCCTGCATTTTTTGCTCTGACTCCACCTTTTCACTGAATTACAGGGTCTGGCCAGGAGATAATGCTTCTCTTTAGATCTTAATGTCAACAAATCATGATAGAAAGAATATTTTTGTACAAAGATTGATGCTTAAAAAGGTATTGCAGGGGACCAGCCAAGGGGCCATCAAGGAAAGTGGGGAAATCTTGAATGGCTTCTACTGTATATCATATGAAGTGAATGAGGGCCGTTCTACTTGAATCTAATACATTTATTTAGGTGTAGATTGCTGAGCTTAGCTACAGCACCTACCGGACTGCAGACAGAGGACTGAGGCAGCATATGAGGCTGATAAGGGATTACTAGAGTTCCCAAGAAAATTTGAAACCAACCATTCAAAGTATGTTAAATCGTCTGTTAGAGAACCGGCAAAACAGCTGCTCTAAAAAAGCCTCTACATTGTCTGCACTAGACCTACAGCAGGGTCTTTGTACTGCTGATAATAACATGCATACTTGTGCAAACACAAAGAGAATTTTTAACTTTAACATTCATAAAAGGTGTGCAAACAGAAAGTTTTCGAGAGTAAAACTTGAAAGAAATAACATAAAGAAAGACTGAGATTTCTGGCTCTGTGTTTGTGACCAAAGGAGTTGAAAACTGAACATTTTAATCCAGACCCAAAAAACCAAAAAACAAAATGTTGTACTAACTACATTACAAAGCATGAGGGTCGATGTGTCATGGTTTACTTTGCTGCAGGCAGAATCACTTGATTCACTGAGGAAAATGTGAGTTAATCTGTTAAAAAGAAATTCAGGCTAAAGCAGAACCGGATGCTGCAACGTGACGATGGTCACAAACATACAATTAAATCTGCCAAATGAGTCCACAGTGGCCAATTAAAAGGTCACATCCTGATCTCACTCAAATGCTGCAGGGTGATCTGAAACATCCGGTTCATGCATGAACCTCTTAAAAATATCCGAAATGAAAGTGAGGAGTGGGTCAAACTTTCCTCAGATCGATCTCATAATCTGTAGAAGTATGTAAGTTATCATCATATGAACATGATGATAACTTATTTTCTTTTTAGGCAGTAAAAAAAAAAATTAATTTCTTCATGTTAAACCAAGTATTTAACAGGGTTTCCTAATTTCTTCACATGATTGCAGATAATTTTTAGTTATAGGTACAGTGCTGATTTCTGCACACCTATTGCTCTAATTTACTGCATTGTGAGTTCTGGTGCTGATCTGGCTTTGCTACTCAGAGCTGTACAGCTATAGACTGTCTAGATAAATGATCTTGTTGCAGTTAGTGCTACTTGGAGGAGCAGGAGTCCATGCTGTGAACTAACTGCAGGTCATGTGTATGCAACACATCTTCTCAGTCCTGCTACTTTTGCATCCTCGACTTCACTGACAGGCTTCGACGCAGCCTAGGAGAAACTGACAAAGGCCAATATATGTGGTGCTGATGCTTAGTTTTACAGTGCGGGCTGCTATTAAGCAGCACATTTATCAACACATGCTGTAAAGGACCTTGGAGGGTATTTGCTTGATCTCACTAAGGAAGTCAAATCTTACATAAGCTGCTTTGCTTCGTCAAAGTGAGGCTGAAAATTACCCAGTGCAACGTCTTGCCATTCTCACTGAACAGCCTTGCAGCTACACGCTGCGTACAGCACCAGCAGTTTGGGGCTCAGTGCAAGAGCTGTCGTCTCCTTTAAGCCAGCATATGTCAGGCCGAGTCTGTCTCTACCTCTTACTGTCTGCCACTCTGGCAACAACAGGGGGCGAGTCGGCTCTGCCAACAGCCTGGCATCAAACATATAGATGTACTCAGAAATACAGATTTATACTCTAAAAGTTTCCTGAAAATGGGGTATGAACAAAAGGTAATTTTGCACCACTAAACTTAAAAAGACCCTTAGAGATTTATTGTGTTTAAACCTTTTTTCACAATGTTATTTTTTAGATCATCAACAACCTTAAATATCCAGAGTTAACCAAACTAAGTATAATATAATGCTTTAAAATAATGCTTTTTTAAAGGGGAAAAAAATAATCTTATATCACTGTGGAAGACTATTGGCTGACTGTTCCTTCTAGAATCTTTTAAATTGACTGACGCCTAAATGTTTGAATGACAAAGACTATCATGGTTCTCCCCTTTTAGTTTTCAGTTATTGTGTCTTGTGATCTTTGGTTTATTTTCCATTTTTTGTTATATTTAAGCAGTCTTAAGTTACTCTCTGTTGCCCCATTGTGCCTGTCTCCTTTTCCCT